ATATAATTTTATTTCATATCTCGTTTATCCGTTGTATCTTCATGTTGTAGGAATTGGATATTTAAAATAACCTTAACGTTGAACATTTTCTTACATAGGTTGTGAATATTTAGAAATAATAAACGTATTTAAGTTCAACATCAAAGATTTATATTTTAATGAGTATTCCTATCGTTAAGGACTTATATTAACATTAAGTGACAATTATGTATCAAAGATAGTACTGAATTAAGTAATAGACATCTAGGAATTTAGAAAGTAGATAACTACTTTTCATTGTTTGTGCCTTTATATTTAACATATTGTAATTGATAATAAACTCAAAAAGAAATAACATAAAACTATTGTATAATATTATAATTTACCAAAAATTAATATAAACAATACATATAAATCAATGGAATTTATGTTACAAACTTATATAAAACCATTAATCTTCATTAATATATGTACAAACAATAATGACAAATAAACTTATGATCTTGTAAAATTTAATGTTCCATAATTGAAATATATTATCCATAAAATTTAATAAATTTAAAAAAGATCAATAACAAAGTTTATTTACTTTGTACAAATATACAAAGGAGATACATTATTTTTCATTTTGTTAAATTTTTATTTATATATATTTATAATTTATATTAATTGTATTTGTAGATTATATTTTCATAAATAAAATTATATTTTTTCAAATATTTAAAAATCATTTATATATGAAATTATTATACATTAAATATTGTGCATATAATATCTATATTTTTTATATAAAAAAATATCATAGTTTTGAAAGAAAAATGATAAAAATATATTCAATTTACATCTATATTTCATGTACTTATTCGTTTAACAATAAGTATGAACAAAAAAAGCAAATGATAGAAGAAAGACAGAAATAGGATAAAAATTATAAAAATATCAGCATCATTTCTTATCTTAAACGAAACACACAAAAAAAACAAGAAAAAGAAATAGAAAATAAAATTAATCAACAATGTTATTTCCTGAGTATTTATCTTTTCAAAGACAAAATAAACTAAAATAAGAATTAAAGATTAGTGCCATCTTTTGAGCACTACAATATCTTTCTAAAAATAACATATCTTTAACATTTAAGAATTGACGATTAATTCTTGCTTTATTTCTGTTTTTTTTCTATTTTGCTTTCTTTGAGTTTCATTTATGACATTTTGGAGATGATGCTGATTTTCTAATTTTTATGTCATCTGTATCCCATTGTTTCTTTTCCTTATCTATATTATATCTATTTTATAATTACTATCAATGATTGATACTTCAAAACTTAAAATATCATTAAATATTAGATCTCTCCTATATTTCGCCTATTGCTTTATGTCTATTATATTCAGAAAATTAATGTTTCGATAATTTTTTAGAATTTTGAAATTCAAATTAAAATTTTCAATACAAATTGAAAGTTGGCAATACTGATTACACATCATAACATGACGTTGACATGTATCACTGCTTGTAACATATACCTAACGTGTGTTATTTGATTGCTTCGTTGACAGTTCTTTTTGCATGGTTTGTAAAAATGTTTTCATGTAATCAACATGTATGAAAACATTTTATTAAATTAATTTATATTAATTTTGTGAATACAATATAATTATAACAAGCTGTTTATTAAAATATTACGTGCAACATACCATCTTAAAATTCAAACTATGAGTGAAATTAAAATATTTTTTTATTTTTAAAAATCATGTTTACATATTTCTTTATTTTATTGAATTTTTTGAATATAGTAAAGCATTATAGAAATTATTAAAAAATTATAAACGATAAATATTTCAAAAATATTAAATAATATGTATAACTAAAATTGCTTGTTCAACTTATATTTCATTTTACTAATATTTCGTGGCACTTTTATTGTGTAGATCTACTATAATCTTTATTGCAAAAATATCTTAATTAACCGCCAAAATTGAGAATAAAATGCGAAGAAGTCATACAAGTAGGTTAACCATTGTTTAAAATTTAAAATGAAATTTAATTATTGTAGTTTTTAATATGACTTAATATTTTATAATAGATTATTCCTATGAACCTTTACCAACTACATCAAGCCATGATGGCTTGGAAGATGAAAATGAAAGAATGACAGAACATTTAAAGGATAAAATTTATGCTTTAAAATCTTTGTCAATTGATATTGGACAAGAAGTACAATATCAAGATAAATTACTTCGTGGAATGGTGAATAATTCATTAATATAGATTAAATTATATTAAATATATGTTAAAGTAAAAAATATATAAAAATTTTTGTTATCAGGATGAAGATTTTGAAAGAACAAGTGGTTCGTTAACAAATTCAGTTGCACGTGTATTGCGTTTATCCAAAGGAAGTCATACTTATTATATTTTGTATTTAATATTGTTCTCTGTAGTTGTTTTTTTTATATTATGGGTAACATTGAAATTTTTTTAATTAAAATATTTTTACACAAAAAAAGAATATTGAAACAAGAATTCATTCCTATAAAAAATGTATTTTTTTTTTGCACTCATAATGATAATTTTCAAATATAATATTTTCAAATATTCAATATATGTATATAAAAGATAATATTTTTAACCTATTTAAACTGTACAGTTAAAATTTGTCGAATTTTATGTAAAAATTATACTACTATTACACTATTTGTAAGAATAAAAAAAATATATATATTTTATGTTAAAACAGTATGTATGTATAAATATATTTAATATATTTAATATATACATATATTTTAATTATTGTAAAATAAAAGTGTTTATATGTAAATACATTTTTGGAATTTTCCGCGTTATGACATTTAAAAGTTGGCGGCATTGAATCGTAGAGTTAACCTATTATAATATGATAGAAGAATCACGTGTACAGTGATTCAATGATATCAATGATATATCAATGATATATAATTAATGTTTTTATGTGAATTGAATTAGATTATATATCTTTTAAAATGAAACTAAAAAATTTACGAATAAATCCTTTGAATCGAATTCAAAAAGAAAGAAAAGAAGAAGAACCAAGCACTTCAGAAAATAAAACGTCGAAGGTTATTTTACCATCGGATAGCAATTTTAATCATATAAAGTGCAAAGCAGTACGATATAAAAAATGCCAACAATTAATGAAAGAAAAAATAAAGGCCAAAAAAGAAGCCAAAAAAAAAAGAATTCAAGAAGGAGGTCCAAAACAAATTCCACATACCATTGAAAGCTTAAGAGAGAAAGATGAAACTATTGTCACTGGTAATCTTGAGGATGAAGAAAATGCTGAACTTAAAGTTGATTTTGAACATGATGAATTTGCTGCTTATTATAAGCATACTTATGATCCTAAAGTTTTGATTACATATTGTGATAATCCAACAAGAAAAACTAGAATTTTTGGTGTAGAACTTACAAGGATAATACCAAATTCAATTTCTTTATATAGAAATCGTTCTGGAGTGAAGAAAATGGTTAAAAGTGCTATTGCAAGAAATTTTACAGATATTATAATTATTAATGAGGATCAATGTAAACCTAGTATCCTTTGTAAATATTTATAATAATTAATTTTATAAAAATTTTTTATATTATTTATTATTTTCCTTATAAGTTTTCTCAGATGGTATGTTAATTATTCATTTGCCTGATGGGCCAACAGCACATTTTAAGCTTAGCAATGTTAAAATAACTCCGGAATTAAAACGTAGTCATAAAGAAATTTCTAAACATAGACCAGAAGTTATTTTAACTAATTTCACAACTCGCTTGGGCTGTACTATTGGTAGAATGTTAGGAGCACTATTTCATTATCAACCTGAATTTAAAGGCAGTAGAGTTGTAACATTTCATAATCAACGAGATTATATATTCTTCAGACATCATAAGTATGATTACTTTAATAATGTGTTTAATAAAGAAAGAATAACTTCTAAAAAAATAAAATAAGAAAAATAAGAAAGAATAAATAACATTACAGGTACCAATTTGATCTTGAAACAGCTAAACCTAGATTAAGAGAGCTAGGACCTAGATTTACTTTAAGATTAAAATCTCTACAACAAGGAACATTTGACAGTAAACATGGAGAATATGAATGGCTTATTCAAGGAAAAAGACATGATATGGAAACTAGTAGAAGAAAATTCTTTTTATAAATTTAATATAAATGATTTTAATAGGCATGTTTTATTACATTTTGTATTTAATATTACCTCGAATAAACAACGTGAAGTTGTTATAAGAAATATAGAAATTTCTATTTATTAAGCTCTTATAAAATATAAATTTATAAGATATTATAAATAAGATATTAATATAATAAAGATATTAAAATTAATTTTATAACAAATAACGCGAGGTCTATAATTTATTTCTTTTTGTATGTCACATTTTTAACAGATTTTGGTTTAAATTGTTCATAAGGTATATTTGTTCGTTTTAAAACATAAACTGCTGCTTGAAGACCACCTATATTTATACCTAAAGTTTTTGTCACATAAAACAAATCTCCAGCTGCTTGTAAAGCCTATAAAAAATAAACATATTAATCAAAATTTAAAAAAAATTTGATATAAAAATTTTAATAACATACCATATTGAAACTACGTCTATCATAAGTAAGTAAAACAATCCGACCTGTTAGAAGTTTTACAATTCGTCCTAATTCTATTAAAAATTGTTTATAAAGTATTCTATTATCCATTATTCGACCACTTCTTTTTCCAAATGGCTATAAGAATTATTTAAGAAATTAAATGAAAAGTTTAATATACAATAAGAATATATTTAAATATTTGATTACCATATCGGTAACAGCAATATCGATAAAGGAATCTTTAAATGGTAATTGTGATACATTCCAATGTAATAAATCAATCTTACATTTAGAAGAAGATGCTTCAATATTAGATTTTGTTCTATGTACAGCTTTGGGATGATTATCTCCACCAATAACATATGATTTAAAATACACTAAAGTTGCCTAAAATTTTTAATATTAATCTTTTGTTATATTAAATATTAAATTTGAAATAAAAATATTGATGTTACTTCAATTGGAATAGAACCACTACCACACATTGGATCAATTATTATATCTCCTGGCTTTGGATGAGCTAGTCTTAACAAATTATAACATATTGTTGCTCTAAGGGTAGTTGGTCCAAAACACATGATATTCCTGTGGTGTTTAGATTCATGTGTAACACGTAATTGTGTTACCAATTCATCTATATTATATAATATATATATATTTTTTATATTAATATATTATATTTATAATATATATAATATTTATATAATATTTACATATAAATTTATATTTTACTTACTATTGATTAATTTACAGACTATTTCTAAATAATATGTAGATAAATCTACAAGCCATAAATATTTATCTTGCAATTCTCCACCTATAGTTCTAGCAACATCTGATGATTCAAATATATGTTTGCCAGTTCTTTCACATGTTACTCTATATCTTAATATTTCATCTTCTTTAGCATTAAATGGATTTTGACCTCTTTTCTTTCCCTTAGGTGTAGTAGGTGCAACAGTTGTGTTACAAAGTTTACGATCTTTTTCTGCTAGATTATATTCATCAATAGTTGGGTATATTTTTCCTTGAAAACCAGTAACATGTTTCCAAATATCTAGAGTTTTTTCTAATTTCATGTTATTATGCACAGCATTTTTAAATAATTGTAAATCCATTTCTTTATTTCCTGAGAATTCAAATTTGCTAACATCTGCGACAATAAACATATTATCTATTGATCTCATTTCTTGTATCTGGAATTATAGTTTGAATAAAATAATATTATTCACACAATATTATTTGATATAGTAAAATATTTTTCAAATATTGTTGCAAATATTGTTAATTTTTATGTCAAAAAACATGATCAAAACAAATAAAAAACAATACTACTTGTATAAATTGATTCCAATATATATTGAAATAAATTTTGCCGCGTTCTTTGACAACTTTAACATTTTTATCCAATTTCTCTTTGCATTCATCTATTGCTTGCCATTCAAAACCTAAAATTATATCATTTTATAGGTTACACTAAACAACCACGTGTTTTCGATTCTGATTAATTAAAAAATTTTTAATTACCTGTATCTACAGTCGTTGCTATCATAAAGACATTATCATTTAATGATGATTCTAGGAAAAGTTTTCGTAAACTTGATTCGTTATCTATATTCATGTCAAATTCGGTATATGTAAATTATCCTTATATACTATAAAATACATATAATAATACACGTGATTAACATCAAACCAGCATCACGTGTTTGATTAATCAAATAAATTAAATTTTATTATAAATTTGTAATATCAATTACGAATCAAATTAAATTATATTCTATTTGCTTTTTATATGATTCTGACTTGATTTATATTTTCATTATATGAAATTTAAATATAAAATTAAATAGTTATACTTTCATTTACAAGCATAGTTAAAAAATATTAACAATAAGAAATTCTTCAACAATGCGAAAATTTTTATGCGATTTTAATCCACAAGTGAAAGGTAGTAAAAATCGCGCGGATGCGAAGTCCGTTTTTGTGCAAAATAAAGAATACCTCTTTGAAGCTCATGAACTCCTGATACAAGATGTCAATTTTGTTGAACAGTTTACAAAATTTCTAACTTTTACGAAATGTAACAACAAATATTTATCAAATATATTGTATGATATAAAAAGTATATATATACTAGCTATATATACAGGGTGTTTATAAAAATGTGAGATACCTTTGGAGAGTGAATTCTAAACATCAAAACGAAAAAAGTTCATATACATATGTGTTCGATAACGCTTAATTAACGAATTATAAGCATTTTAAGTTTGTATTAGATAGAATGAGATAACGAAAGAACAAGAACTCAGCTGAGTATGCAGCAATACTGTATTACAATGTCACTTATGTAGTAGAGTTTCTCAATGAAAGTAAACATATTGTAATAAATTTTTGGAAAGATGAATATCAATTAATTATAAATATATAATAATAATAATAATAATTATTATTATTATTATTATTATATTAATAAATTAAAAAAAGAGATATATAATTTTAAAAAAATCCTTTTAAAT